ACCAGCTAAATCGGTAGAGCGGTAGATGCCGCGAGTGTCGAACGTGTACTTCAACGAAATAAAGTCCAAAACATGATAAAAATTTGATCTGGATGCATGTTTTCAAGATGGATAATTGAACTCGGAACGGAAGTAAACACTGAATCGTACACAACGCCATCTCGCGACATACTGCCAAAGTATCTGTGAGATATTTGTGCAATAAAATTTATTTGAATTTGAATTTGACCTTACCGCGTTCACACGGTAATGGTTTGGCTCGAGCTAAATGGGCTAAATTTGGCTCAGGCTAAATTTGGCTCGGGCCGGTTTGAGTCGGAGCGTTCACACGTACGCAAGTGAATACTGTCCAATATACGCGTGCGTGTATCTCCACTTGACATCCGTATTAGTGTAAATCGGTTTCAGTAGCCGAATTAACTAGTGAAAGTGGTAGAATCTATGGCATATACTACGTACGATTCCCGCGAATGTTCGAGTCCAGTGAGGTCACTGACTGCACGCTCACGCGAAACTACCTGCCTGCTAATTATGTTAGTGGTTGATACCAATACTGACACTATGTCAACCCGTTAATCCCCAACCGCTTGCCGTATGGTTTATGGAGCCGGTTAAGTTGGAGCGGAATGTTTTGTAGTAAAGTTGGAATGGAATGCATTGTGATGAAATCCTCGTCTCACAGATAGATGGACAGCTGTGAAGGAGGTGAAGAAGAAGGGCAATGTGGAGAATGGGAGGGAGAGAGGGAGGAAGGCACGTAGAAGGGGAGGGAGGGAATGGCACGGTGAAAAACGAAACAAGGAGGGAGGAAGGGAGGAACATCATCTAAAACATCATGAACGTATGTTATGAAGAAGAGAAGGGAGATATGTCGTCGAAAAAAGAAGGAACGTATGTTATGAAGAAGAGAAGGGAGATATGTCGTGAATAAAGCGAGGGCGGTAGGGAGGGAAGTTTGCTGTGGAGAATGGAAGGGGCGCTTTGAAGACTAGACTGGAGGGATGTCACAAAGAAGAAGAGGAGTGGAAGAGGGTGACCACTGTCACAGTAGCGGTCACGCGTGTACCGCCGGAGCGTCGCGGCGCATCACACACGCACGCACGCACGCACACACGCACACACCTGCACGCGAGATGTAGCGCCGTGCATCCATCTTTGTCGCGCGCGTCCAACTGCGCTTTACTCGCCACCAGGGTGCGCACGCTGTCGACGTGCCCGCGGGCGGCCGCGCAGTGCAGCGGCGTTTCCTGTTCGCGGTTCTTGATGTCCAGCCGACATCCGGCGTTGCAGAGCATCTGGAAAGAATAGAGAGACGGATTCTGAGTTGACACGTCCTGCCAGAGAGATTGGGCTAACCTTGAGGTGGTGGGGAAGGGAGACTGAGATGTGAGAATACTAGAGCCTGAGTGTACGTACATGTGCGTCGACACTGCTTAACTGTGAGTGTGTATTAAGTGTACATTTATTTATGTTACTACATTGTATAATATACTGTCGAATTTTGTACGACTGCAAATACTGTATATCACATCTCTACTATATTGTACTGTATCAATGTACCGTTATACTTATATTAGTGCCTGTATTTCATGTATACATTTATGTTACCACATTGTATGTACTGCGAATTGTGCACGACTACAAATATTGTATTGTATAACGCATCTCAACTATGTACTTAATGTACGTTTTGTCAATGTTGGTCTAGAAATAAAATAAAAAAGATTTAAAAAAAACTATAAAAAAACTGTGAGTGTGGGATACGTCTATATTGTTACATGCAGTTATAAGCAGTTATGATAAATAGTTAAAATTTAGTTTCAATTTCAATTGTATACGTTATAATAAACTACTAATGATTAAAACTGTGTGACCTTTCACATTACTTTGATGTAGATGGAATGGTGGGCAGAGAATAAATCCGATAGGGAAATACGAATAGGACATGGAATTTAAATAACGAAAAAATCGGTAGATAGAGGCACGCATGTAATAAAATTCTATCAAAACGAAATATCAAGGGACATCTAAATTGCATCGCGTATTCTAGGCAAACTTCTATGCTTCCAGTATTTCTGACAGCAATTTCTGCAGAGACCAAACCGGCAACGAACCGAGTTTTATCTGCAATACACAATTCTAGTTCAACTTGATGTATGGTGACACGCGCACCCACTTTCGCATACTAAATTACCCCTCCACAGCATTGGTGGTTTCGTGAGGAATGTCACAGTGAAATTGCCTAATCATATAGTCATGCAATCACAGCATGACGTAGCCCTGAATGCAAGGTAACACCAAGAGTAGATAATAACACATAGCCGGGCTGGAACCTGTCACGTAAACCAACTACACGAATTAAATCAAGAATTGGGCACACGCACGCCCGTGTGTGTGCGTGCGTGCGTGCGTGCGTTCATGGATGTATCAGTGATTCTATTCCATGCCATTCTCAACACTCCAATTAATACATCGCAACGCACATTGTCATGCACATTCTCGCACGCACACGCACGCACATACACACACGCACGCACGCACACACACGGGCGGGCGTGTGCCCAATTCTTGATTTAATTCGTGTAGTTGGTTTACGTGACAGGTTCCAGCCCGTCTATGTGTTATTATCTACTCTTGGTGTTACCTTGCATTCANGGAAAGGAGGGGGGAGGGGTTGGGGGAGGGTTTGGGGAGGGGGAATGTGAGGAGAGGGGGAAGGTAGGGAAAGGGGAGAAAGAGAGGGGTGAGGGGATAGAGGAGGGGAGGGGCGGGGTATGGAGAGGGGTAGAGGAGGGGTTGGGCGGGGGAAGGGGTTGAGGAGGGGGCTGGGAAAGGAAGAGGGAGCGCAACACGTAGCAAGCCATATTTAACATTTTTCGACGTAATTTCGCGAGTGTGCGATTTTTTCCGGCGTACGTGATGGAAAGTGAGCACGCGTGGGAGGGAAGGTCCGCTCCTCTCACCTTGGGAGCCGTCATCTCAACCCCCCCCCCTCAAGGGGGTGGGGGTGATGACGAGGGAGGGCTTAGAAACGACCGTGTGACGAAACCCATCGCGAGAATAAAGAGAGTCTACCGACTTTCACCAGGGTTATGTACATCTTCTATCATATAGTAGATTATTCTATCATCAACACGTGGATAGTAGTATATAAGTATAATTACCTGTGATTATGTTTTACCTGTGTTCCGAGTCTACCGACTTTCACCAGGGTTATGTACATCTTCTATCATATAGTAGATTATTCTATCATCAACACGTGGATAGTAGTATATAAGTATAATTACCTGTGATTATGTTTTACCTGCGTACCGACTCTCGCCAGGGTTATGCACATGGTCATGCTGATGATTCCCCCAGTCGGGCGAGCGACAAATTCATATATCATCAACACGTGGATAGTAGTATAGGTATAATTACCTGTGATTATGTTTTACCTGTGTTCCGAATAATCTACACGATGATATAAGATGTACATAACCCTGGTGACAGTTGGAACACAGGTAAAACATAATCACAGGTAATTATACCTATACTACTATCCACGTGTTGATGATAGAATAATCTACACGATGATATAAGATGTACATAACCCTGGTGACAGTTGGAACACAGGTAAAACACAATCACAGGTAACTATACCTATATACTACTATCCACGTGTTGATGGTAGAATAATCTACTATATGATATAAGATGTACATTACCCTGGCGACAGTCGGTACACAGGTAAAACATAATCACAGGTAATTATACCTATAATACTATCTACATGTTGATGATAGAATAATCTACACGATGATATAAGATGTACATAACCCTGGCGACAGTCGGTACACAGGTAAAACATAATCACAGGTAACTATACCTATATACTACTATCCACGTGTTGATGGTAGAATAATCTACTATATGATATAAGATGTACATTACCCTGGCGACAGTCGGTACACAGGTAAAACATAATCACAGGTAATTATACCTATAATACTATCTACATGTTGATGATAGAATAATCTACATTATGATAAAAGATGATGGATAGATAACAGATAATAGATAATAGATAATAGATAAGATGATTAAATGGATAAAATATACATTAGCACATGGCAACTCAAGAAGGAGGCCACGCAGCAAATTAACTATCCGTAAGACACCGATAGTATATTAACTATCCGTAAAGCACCGATAGTAAATCAACTATCCGTAAGATACCGATAGTAAATTAACTATCCGTAAAGCACCAATAGTAAATCAACTATCCGTAAAGCACAGATAGTAAATTAACTATCCGTAAAGCACAGATAGTAAATTAACTATCCGTAAGACACCCATAGTAAATTAACTACCCGTAAAACACAGATAGTAAATTAACTATCCGTAAAACACCGATAGTAAATCAACTATTCGTAAAGCACCGATAGTAAATTAACTATAACTACAGTAAATCTACACAACACTAATAGTTAATTCATCTACCTAGCATAGAGACAGTTAATTAACTATGTGACATTAATAGTTAATTAGCTATCTAGCGTATGGATAGATGATTACCTACGTGGCACCAAAAGTTAGACACGTGTGTGATGAGTTACTGCCGACGACGACGACGACGATGACGACGACAACGCCGCTGCCACCGACGACGACGACGGGCTGGTAATGCATTTACAAGCGTCGCCAGATTGCACGGCTACCGACAAGAATTTCTTTTTAAGAGACCAACGTTCACCTAGAACCCGGACTGTACACAGTGTCCGTGTATACGTACCGTATATATTAGATACAATAATGTAACCCAACAAGAGTAGGGCGGTAGATGTAGCCCCACAAAACCAACCCCTACTCTTGTTGGGTTACATTATTGTATCTACATATATATATATACCCGTACGCTAGTAGTGTATACGTGCATATATATCCGTACGTACGTTGGCTTGTTGCATGGGTGTCAGTGTGGGTTTACCTGACTAGACAGGCCAGGCATGGCATCCGTCCCACCTTGGGGTGAGTTTACATCACAGGTCCTGCCTTGCTCGCTACTGCTGCCACCCGGGGTTTCTTCTTAATGAGGCATGCGCTGGTGTGTGTGAAGACGAGACAAGATTGAGAGGAAAGTGAGAGGCAACAGAGAGAGAGAAAGAGATGAAGACTGAGATGAGGCAGGAGAGAGAGAGAGAGGAGAGGAGGACGAGGAGAGAGAGAGAGACTTGATGAGAGACAGATGAGTAAAGAGAGAGGTAGGAAGACGACGAGAGAGAGAGAGGAGAGATGTCGAGAGGAAGATGAAGAGAGAGAGAGACCACGAGACAGGAGACAGGAGACAGAGACAGGACCAGAGACAGGACAGAGACAGAGACAGAGGACAGAGACGAGACAGAGACAGAACGTAGCCAGAAGACGGTAGAGCGTAGGGAGGGAAAGAGGAGAGAGGGAGAGAGAGAGGAGAGATGAGAGAGACCAGCATCTCTGAATAGATTAATGCCTGATCGAAAGCTCTTTGATTTGTAATAGCTGTCCTTCTGCACAGCTGCGTGTGACGTCACGTCTTATAATACCGTAAGCCAGAGACTTACAGACCTCATAGCCTGGATTAGTTCGTACACAGTATACAGAACCAGTACAGAATGTGATGCTGTATAGGATGTGAAGAGGAGAGATTGGTGGAAGTGTTAGAACTGTGGATCGGAAGCATGTTTTGTAGCGAGCATTCCGGTGTGCGTGTGGGGTGGGTGCTGTTTTTGGAGGTATAACCGTAGTTGCCCGTGTCGAGAAAAACAAGTTTACATCTTTAATTTGTGAAATATGACTCTTAGTTTCTTGAACCTGCTGCGTTTTAGAAGAACACGCCTGCGGACAACTTAACATGTTTCTGTCAATAACGGTCTATGAGAAAAAAGTTCGATGCCAAGACCTTAATTTTATGGCCCTAATTTTAGTTTCTGACAACGGGCCGCGGTTCTATTTATGTTTGCTCACTGATAGCTCAAAGTGCCCCAGCCCTAGGCGCATCCCGCTAGATTTATGCATAGCATTGCGGTAGTCTCGTCATTAAGTAGTCCTGTGGTCAACAGTGTGTTGCCCGTTGTGTGTGTGTGCGACGTGATGTGTGCGGGGTGATGTCGTGTGTGTGTGGGGTGTGTGCGTTGTGCGTCACGCTGGTTTGGTGCGTGCGACCTGCGGCGGCACGTGAGCTTACTGCGTTGCGCGTGCGATGCCGCTCCGATCAGGCGCTGCCGTGGGTGCGTCGTCGGCTGCGGTCACGTGCGACGTGGTTAGATGTATGTGG